CGAGTAATGTCTCATGGTCCAGAGAAATGTCGTTGATTCCGCAGTAATGCCAGTAATGCTTTGTAATGCAATAAAATTTGTACATGTATTGTCATCCCCTCGAATGTTAGTTTTTATTACGCATGCATCATAATCAACGATTATCGCACGCTGCAGCGTGCATAAAATGATGTTTATGATGCGTCTACCTTTTCAAAGGTTTGCTATAGAAACGTTCGATCTACCTTCATTATCTAGATATTTACCTGCATACCTGCCATTTAAATTACTACTTATCAATATAAATGACACTTTTAAAACATTTTTGAGATTATGATGCATTCGTAATAAAAAATAGCGTATGATATGCGTGTATAGGAGGGCATTTAATGCACGCGCGACATATTTCAAAACACGACGCGCAGCGGAGTGTTTTGTAAGTCGCAAGGGCTTATACACTTATATCATAATATACTATTGCCAAACTAGTGATATATTGTGACAAGTTATTCAAGTACAAATGAGTAAATTGTTGTGGAACTTATAGGTGGACCATCTATTCATCAATATGTTGTTTAATTACGATACTAACCTGACTCACTCAAATGTGAGTTATTCTCATTAGTTTAAAAACTACATGTTTCAGGTTGGTGTCTTATTTGAAAAGTTCAACAGTATATTGGTGAGTAGATGGCTGCGCAGAGGTCCACCCATAAGTTCCGCAACAATCAACTTATTTGTACTTGAACAATAATTTATTATACAGAGTTGGATAAACTGACACATTTTGCTGGTAAATATCTCGAAACCGGGAAAAGATAACGAGATGCGGTTTGTTCTGGGAGAATGAGGATTTTTTAAAGTTTTTTTTAACATTATTGCCGAATCCTGAAATTTGCTGAAATTTGTTTTTACAGACATGCGATTTTTTGAAATAAAATGACTGCCTTATTTTTAATGAAACACCCTGTATATTTTTTCATCGTCAGAAAGCCTGATTTTTCTACTTCACAAAATTGTTAATTTTTTTTTTAATTATCTTGAACTTGCATAGTGAAAATTGCACTTTGTCGAAGTGCATTGACTGGCCAAAACAAAATTGGTAATTAATTTTTGTTTAATACTTTTATTAAGCGCATAGTTAACTAATAATACAAGTATTAAACACAAATTAATTAATAATGCAAGTGCATATAAACAAAAATTAATTATTTTCTTTTTTTTTGACCAGTCGATGATAAAGTGCAATTTTTACGATTCAATTCCAAGATAATTGAAAAAAATTATACGTTTTTTTTAAAGTAGGAAAGTCAGTATTTCTGACGATGACAAAATATACCGGGTGTTTTATCAAGAATCAGTCAGTATGTAATTATTTCAAAAAATCGAATGTCTGTAAAACCCGAGGTAAAACCAAATTTCAGGATTCGGCAATACTATGAAAAAAAACTTTGTAAAATCCTTATTCTCTCAGAACAAACCGCATCCCGTTACCTTTTCTCGTTTTCGAGATATTTACCTGGAAAATGTGTCAGTTTATCTAAGGACACCCTGTATGAAGTCAGAATTTAAAAGATTATCCATTTTTTGTCAATTTGCCTTTTAACAGGAATTAGTAATGTTACTTTACCAAACTAGTAACATATGTGACAAGTTATTCAAGTATAAACGAGTGAATTGTTGCGGAACTTATGGGTGGACCCAGCCATCTATTCACTAATATGTTGTTCAAGTACGATACTAACCTGACTCATTCAAATGTGAGTTATTCTCATTAGTTCAAAAAGTACACGTTTCAGGTGAGTGTCTTATTTGAACAATTCAACAGTATATTGGTGAGTAGATGGAGGTCCACCCATAAGTTCTGCAACAATCCACTTATTTGTTCTTGAACAATACCGTACAGTGGGGTTACTTTGCCTAAAGGGGTAACTTTGCCAAGCAATGCGTCTATTATCAAATAAATGTTTTTATGTGAAAATGGCAACATTGCAAGCTTAGTAAACACTTTCCGTTCTCCGTTAGAAGCCGCTGCATACATCCCGCGCTTTTGTGAGTGTCAAATAAATCCAGTTGAAACTCTATAAGATATTCTTTATTTTGTCAAAATTGTCAACTTTAAGAAGCTCTTCTATACTAAGGCGTGTATCACCAATAATACATAGAATAGAAATTTGAAACTTGAATATGTTTTTTGTGTAGCTTTTGACGTTATAATCATTATAAAACGATGTTGCCAAAGTTTTCAAAAAAAACTTGGGGCAACAATTTTAATTTCAATGGCAATGTTACCCTATGAGATTTATTCTATTTCGAAGATGATTTGACAAATTTTAAATTTAACTAGGATGGTTTTTGTAATAATACGCTTGTTTAGATAGATTACCAGAGTTTTGAGCAAAAAAAAAATGTTGTTTCAGTTAGAGTTAGGTTTTCAGTTGATTCAGAAATATTTGTGTCTAAAATAAAGGACTTTTCGAAATACTCAATAACTTTTTTATTTTCCAAGATATTTTTGTGATTTTTGCATTAAAATGTTGGAAATTTCACACTAAAGAAAAATTTGACCAAAACTGGTCTAACTTATTTGCCTTTTTTAGCTAGTAATATGGCATGGCAATATTACCCCAACCCTGATGGGGTAACATTGCCAACCTTTAGGCCAAAGAAAATAAATATAATCCATTATTATAGGGCCTTGAAAAAATTACTGATTATAGAAAACATGCTTAAATTTGACATATATTATATACATCAGGCACTACAGCTGAAATATTTCATGTTATCAATGAAAAACCCCCAAAAGCTGGCAAAGTCACCTCAGTTTACGGTAACCTATTATATAAAGTCAGAATTTGTAAGATTATCCACTTTTTGTCAATTTGCCTTTTAACAGGTATTAGTAGTGTTACTTTACCAAAAAAGTAATATATTGTGACAAGTTATTCAAGTACAAACGAGTGGACTGTTGCGGAACTTATGGGTGGACCGAGCTATCTATTTACCAATATAGAACCTGATTCACTCAATTGTGAATTATTCTCATTAGTTTAATAACTACACGTTTCTGGTGCATGTCTTACTTGAACAGTTCAACAGTATAATAATGAGTAGATGGCTGCGGAACTCGCTGCGCTCGTCCCGCAGAGGTCCACCCATAAGTTCCGCAATAATCCACTTATTTGTACAGGGTGTTTTTTTATATATTAATACACCACCTACAGCCTTTACCTTTACAGGTAGAAAAAAGGTGTAAATACAAAAGTTGTATAGTATTGGCTTTACTTTTAGAATCCATGGTCAGAAACAAAAATTGAATGTCAGAAATATGAAATGTTGCATGCTTTCAGTTTTTTTCAAATGGGATGCCCTATATTTGGTTCTATATATATTCTTGAAGAGCACAATTTCCCGATTCCAAAATTATATAGTTTGTCTATATTTGGTTGAGCCGTCTCCAACATATTTGGTTCTGGAAATTTTAAAAATACTATCAGAGAAACCAAATACCTCAAATTTTACCTGCAGTTTTTACCTGTACAGGTGGAATGGTTCACAAAATCAGTAGTAATAAGATAGTATTTTTACAATTTTTGAAGCCAAATATATGAGAGACTGTTCAATGAAATATAGACAAGCTAGGTATATATTTTTGGAATCGGGGCATTGTGTTTTTCAAGAATATAGAATGAAATATAGGGCATCCCATTTGCAAAAAGCTGGAAGCATGCAAAATTTCACATTTCTGACATTCAAATTTTGTTTCTGACCATGGTGTCTGAAAATTCAGCCAAAACTGTACAACTTTTGTATTTACACCTTTGTTCTACCTGTAAAGTTAAAGGCTGTAGGTGGGGTGTCAATATATAAAAAAACAGCCTGTACCTACCTTATGATTTAGACTTTGGAAGGTCATAACTTTTTTCTATTATAAATAGAAAGCTGAATTTTTCAAAAATTCTTATCCCAGTATAATTTAGTGTATGGAGTTTGGGGGATCACAAAGGACCATTAGAACACAAAATCTCAACAACAAAAAAAAAAAGTAAAATTTCATCGTTTTGGCAGCCTTATGATGCTTCAAATCTCAAAATAATCTAGTGTATGGAGTTTGGGGGATCCTAAAGGACCATTAGCACACAAAATCTCAACAAAAAATAATTATTTTAGTACTAAGGTAGCTACTTTGGAGTTTGGGGATCCCAACTGATCATATAAATGCAAGATCTTAATATAAAAAAAATTGAAATTTCATCAATTTACCTAATTACCTATTTTAGCTAATTAGATGATTGTTGTTATAAAAACGAAAAATTCTCACAATCGGTTGGAGACCTTGAAAATAACTAGTTTTTCTTAATTTTTTTTAAGTTAAAAAGCTTAAACTCAATCGTTGCGTGCCTAATCTTTTGAGCCTTTTAAGCAATTTACTGATTAACCACAAGGTGGAATTTGCAAAAAAAACAAACTAGAAATGATAACGGGCACTTAAAATAAGTTATGTTGCTGTTAATAGGTAGAATTTGTCAAAAAATGAATTATTCATTGAATAACATTGATAGTACAAGGATAGTACTAAACATTTCTTGACAGGTTAACGAAGGTATAAATAAAATATTTGAGCATAAACCTCTGATATTATACTATTGAAATTATGGTACCCACTGATACCTTAAAGGTCTGTTCCCATCGAAATCATAAATCAACCAAGAGAGAATTTCATTTCATTCAACTTGTTTGTTGGCAACTCTTGACTAATCTGTAATTTCTATGAGATTACTAGAATTTTCACTATGCAAGACAAGATACAGTAGTACCAGTCAAACAAGCCAGATATAAATATGCATATATTTATGGAAGTCTTTTTTTGCCATTAGAATGTAGGCCAAGCCCATATACAACATTAACTATTAATTAGGTGAATGTCAATGCAATTTCTATCGATTTTTGGGACATTACAAACAAATCAAATTTAGCACACACATTAAAAACAAATATTTTTATTTTACTTAAAGACCTACCAAATTCTGATGTAGCAGGGACAAATGGGGCACATCTTTGTACGCGTACGACGCGGGCAATTTCGAATATTTAGCGTTCGAATAGTTTTTTCTCATGTTTGACAACGATTCGATTAGATTTTAATTCATTTTTTCCGAAATTTGAATTTCAAATAAAGGCCACACAAGCCATTTAGGAGGAAACACAAGCGCTCACTTTGAACAGCTGATTTTGAGTGAACTGGCTATTAATTTTCTAACCTTACATTTTGCGTTTATCTACATTTTTGATTATTTAACTATGTAGTTTAATATAATTGTTTCAATTTAAGGATTTGAAAATTAAATAATTAAAATCTTAAACAGCGCCATCTGTGTTTTAGTATAAAAGGGAATTAAATTTAAATTGAAAACTTACCTGTGCATAATAATTCCTATAGGGAAACAAAGACAATAATTTACCATTTCTACAGTAAACCTCCATTTATTAACTAATTAATTTTGTTTTTGGTCTTTTTACATTTTTTTTTTCTTTTTGAATTTGAATTAAAAAGTCACTTTTGACAATTAATAACATTTTATTAATCATTACACAATAAATAAAACTATATACACACAGAGTATATAGATGAGTGAGAAAATTTTACAAAATACTGCTTATAATAGTAAAATACAATAGAAAAATATTTCAAATTTCATTTGAATAATCAAACATCATCATAGAACCTTTCTGAAGGATTCTCTTCTATCCTATTAATATTTTCCAAATTTGAAGCCATAATACGTAGATTATCAACACCTGTGAGTAAAGACCTAAAAACAAATCATTTAACAAAAACAACTACATAATTGTAAACTCACCTTAAAGAATGCTCAGCAGTACTGGCAGCACTTCTCAACTCCTGAGCCAATCTGCGAGCTTGCAAGGGCAAAGAAACATCTTCTCCTCCAACATTTGCTTGCAAATGCCTGATTTGATCCTTATAACTTCTGGTTTCTTGTTTCAGTCTTGCCAAGGCTGTTTCAGCTGCATTGGCTCTTCTCTAATAATAATAATAATAAATTAATTAATTCAAAAAACGAATAATTGAATAATTACATAATTCCTATCAACATCCTCTTCAGTTCTGTTTAATCTTTGTCTCAAGTTGGCTAATTCTGTAGTTAATTCTAAACAATTTGGACATCTTGGAGGTTCAATTGTTGTAGGAGGTTCAGTTGTTCTTACAGGACCATCTGTGAGAAAATCTGGTAGGCTTTTCGTTGATAAACCTGGTAAATCTAGTGGGATGGGTTCTTCTAGTTTTGGTTCATTGTTGGGATCTCCTTGAGCAAAATTGGGCCAGTCCAAGTTATAGCATTGTTCAATGACTAAATGATCTTGTACAAAGTCGGGTAATGCAGAGGAGATTTCGTTGATTTTTCTAGGTTCTACTTGCCTAGATCTATTTTCTCTATTATTGTAAACTTTAGGCCTGGCCCCTAAAGATTGATAGTTGTTGCTACTAGTACTGGCAGGGTCTCTTAAAAAGTGTTTAAAGGAAAAAGGATTTTCGTCTCTTTTGGTGTTAGTACCACTAGTACTAGGACATTCTGCTGTAATACAATTATCAATTATTAATAAGTAGATTTTAAATGGGAAAAATTTACCTCCTGCAGCACCTCCTAACCTATTTGTTTCAATGTTGTGAACACAATCGTCTCCTAAATCTAGTGCCAAGCTCCTACTACTGGGCCGAGGATCCGGTTCTTCGTTTTCCTCGTTTTTGGGGAAAATCTTATCGGACATTTCCTCAATATTTAAAAACCGAAAATATAAGCTTATTTGTTTTTTATTTATTTTGATTTTGACGTCTAATTGCAATGTTGCCAAAGGTTACTTTGTCGAAACGGAATGAGTAAGTTTGCAACGTTGGAATCAGGGTTTTGTTGGTTAGGTTTCTGTATTTTGCCTGTCTTGGTGGCCAAGGATATATTTGTCTTTTTTCAGCTACACAAGTTTAACAAAGAAGTGTTCTTTGTAGTGTTTTTCGTCTAGTTTGCACACGCAACACGGTGAAACTCGCTTTTTGGACGCATGGGGGGGGCTCTACAACTCAGCTTAAGGTAAGCGATATTAGGGTTGACAAACTATCGAAAAAAAAACTATCGATAGTGATATCGATAGAATGGCTTACCCATCGATAGTTTGCTCTTCATTCTTATTGGCCAAGGGGCACCAAAAATCGAACAAAGTAACCAAATTTGTAATTAATTACGAAATAAATTTATCAAATGACAATAATAACATCCTAACCTTAAATAACCATTAACCTGCAACCTCCATCATGTTCATCAAAGTCACTCGTCACTCCTACCAACCTAAAAATTAAAAATTGGCAGCACAGCATGTCTACCCCCTAAAAAATAATAACAGATTTCTCAAAACACTTACAGATTTCTTTATATTTCCTTCAATTTACAGATGTCTTCATTTACTTTTGGCTACTTTGGAACTATCGATATTGGTACAGGTCTATCGATACTATCGAAAATTTGAAAAATATCGATAGTATCGATATTCCTATCGATAGTTTGTTATCCCTCAGCGATATATCAAAATGTTGTTGGTATTCTGGTAAATAGAATCAAATGCTTTTTTGGTCAGTGGCGGATAGAGTGGGGTGGCAGGGGGGACAAACAAACCATGTTGTAAGTTTTCAGAATGTTTAGAAAGCTGGAAACCTATAAAAAAAATCACACTTTTGTCTTTGTTCCAGTAGGTATATCATTAGTGGTTGAGTTGATTTATTGTTTTTTTTTTTTTGTTTTAATAAATAAATATTTATACAAAATCAATAAAAAATATGTACAGCGTGTTTTTTTTTTTATATATTGACATCATGACAACCCACCACTGCAGCCTTTACCTTTATAGGTACCTAAATGGAAGATGTAAATACAAAAGTTGTACAGTATTGGCTAAACTTTCAAAATCCATGGTCAAAAACAAAAATTGAATGTCAGAGTCAGAAATGTGCTTTTTTCAAATGAGATGCGCTATATGTATTTGGGAACACAATTTCCCGATTCCAAAACTACCTATATAGTTTGTCTATATTTGGTTCAGCCGTTTCCAACATATTTGGTTCTAAATTTTTTAAAAATACTATCAGAGAAACCAAGTAGGTACCTCAAATTTTACCTGCAGTATTCACCTGTACAGGTAGAATGGTTCACAAAATCAGTAGTAGGATATAGTATTTTTACAATTTTTAGAGCCGAATATATGAGAGACCACTCAATCAAATATAGACAAACTATATATTTTTGAAATCGGGGCATTGTGCTCTTCAAAAAGATAGATTGAAATATAGATGAGCATTCCATTTGAAAAAAGTTTGAAGCATGCAAAATTTCACATTTTCTGACATTTTAATTTTGTTTCTGACTATGGTTTCTAAAAATTCAACTAAAACCGTACAACTTTTGTATTTACACCTTTCTTCTGCCTGTAAAGGTAAAGGCTGTAGGTGGAGTGTTAATATATAAAATAACACCCTGTACAAATAAGTGGATTATTGCGGAACTTATGGGTGGACCTCTGCGGGACGAGCGCAGCGAGTTCCGCAGCCATCTTTTCACCAATATACTGTTGAACTTTTCGAATAAGACACTCACCTGAAACGTGTAGTTTTTAAACTAATGAGAATAACTCATATTTGAATGAGTCAGGTTAAAATCGTACTTAAATAACATTGATGCATAGATGGCTGCGGAACTCGCTGCGCTCGTCCCGCAGAGGTCTATCCATAAGTTCCGCAACAATCCACTCGTTTGTACTCGAATAACTTGTCACATTATGTTACTAGTTTGGTAAAGTAACATTACTATTTTCTGATGAAAGGTAAATTGACAAAAAGTGAATAATCTTACAAATTTTGACCTTATATAATAAATTATAGTTCAAGTAGGTACAAATAAGTAAATTGTTGCGGAACTTATGGGTGGACCTCTGCGGGACGAGCGCAGCGAAACTACATAATGAAAATACCTCACATTTGAGTGAGTGAGGTTAGTATCGTACTTAAATAACATATTGGTAAATAGATGGCTGCGGAACTCGCTGCGCTCGTCCCGCAGAGGTCCACCTATAAGTTCCACAACAATCCACTCATTTGTACTTGAATAACTTGTCACATTATGGTACTAGTTTGGTAAAGTAACATTACTAATTCCTATTGAAAGGCAAATTGACAAAAAGTGAATAATCATAATCTTACAAATTTTGACTGTATATAATAAGTTATTGTTCAAGTACAAATAAGTGGATTGTTGCGGAACTTATAATAGGTGGACCTCTGCGGGACGAGCGCAGCGAGTTCCGCAGCCATCTACTCACCAATATACTGTTGAACTGTTCAAGTTGTGAGCTGTGACATTCTCATATAAGATTTCAATTTAAAAAATATAAAAAGCAGAGGTAGATGAACATAGCCATTAGGTTGGTGGTGGCTAAATATATAATAATATCTGTCACTTTTCAACTACACAAAGTTAAATAAAGAGGAAGACAATAATTGTTCTTAAATATCCTCCATTTTGAAATATTTATCGTGCTTTCGGCTGCCATATCTGTCCTTTTTTACCAACACAAGTTGAACGAAGAGAGAAAGCAAACTGTTCTTATGTTCTCCATTTTGAAATGGAGCTCTCTCGATAAATCCGGTAATGGCGTTGGGTGTGCATCGCCTTGACTGTTCTTTGTAGTGTTTGGCACTAGATTTAGGAAATTACTTAGAATGTCAAAGTTGAGGTGTTTTCTTTTCGATGTAGAACTTCATTTTTTTAATCTGAATTATTTGTTTATTCCAGGCTCTTGAGCCCCTCCTTGTTTTCTTTAATTTTTCAATTCAAGAGCTGGGAAATTGGAAAAAATCTAGTAGGCCATTTGTAGCACTTTCTTTGAACCATCAGGGACAGAGACAGTTAGTATCGTACTTGAATAACATATTAGTGAATAGATGGCAGAGGTCCACCCATAAGTTCCGCAACAATCCACTCGTTCGTACTCGAATAACTTGTCACATTATGTTACTAGTTTGGTAAAGTAACAGTACTAATTCCTGATGAAACGTAAATTGACGAAAAGTTTTCTTATAAATTTTGACTTTATATATAATAAGTTATTGTTCAAGTACAAATAAATGGATTATTGCGGAAGTTTTGCAGCCATCTATTTACCAATATACTGTTGAACTATTCAAATAAGTCACTCACCTGAAACGTGTAGTTTTTGAACTAGAGAATAACTGACATTTGAGAGAGTCAGGTTAGTATCGTATTTGAACAACATTTTGGTGAATAGATGGCTGCGGAACTCGCTACGCTCGTCCCGCAGAGGTCCACGCATAAGTTCCATAACAATCCGCTCGTTTTTACATGAATAACTTGTCACATTACCTATGTTACTAGTTTGGTAAAGTAACATTACTAATTTGTGCGTTAAAAGGCAAATTGACAAAAAGTGGATAATCTTACAAATTCTGACTTTATATAAGAAGTTATTGTTCAAGTAGGTACAAATAAGTGGATTGTTGCGGAACTTATGGGTGGGTGGACCTCTGCGGGACGAGCGCAGCGAGTTCCGCAGCCATCTACTTACCAATATACTGTTGAACTTTTCGAATAAGACACTCACCTGAAACGTGTAGTTTTTAAACTAATAACTCACATTTGAGTGAGTCAGGTTAGTATCGTACTTGAAGAATATATTGGTGAATAGATGGCTGCGGAACTCGCTGCGCTGGTCCCGCAGAGGTCCACCCATAAGTTCCGCAACAATCCACTCGTATTTGTACTTGAATAACTTGTTACATTATGTTACTAGTTTGGTAAAGTAGGTAACATTACTAATTCCTGTTAAAAGTACAGGGTGTTTTTTATAGGGTTGTCGTTATGTATGAAAACGGTCTGATATTTTAGAACCGGCTTGAAAAAAATTTACAATATATCCTGGGGGTTTTTGGAAATGCCCGATTCAATGGTGGTATTTGCAATGTTGCCAAGTTTACCGTTTTTCAAATGCCCTATGTAACTTGATATTTTTAAATAGATGCCCCTCTTTATTTTTATTGTAATTAATTCAGTGTCCCAACATTACTAAAACCCTTAAATGCCAAAACTCCATTTTACTTGGTTTATGAAATATGGCAACACAGATTTTTTGTTAAAATGTATGGAAACAGTCTTCTATTTCAGAAAAAATTTTAACAAAATGTACAATATTATTCCCTACCTGGGGGTTTTTGGGAATGCCCGATTCAATGGTGGTATTTGCAATGTTGCCAAGCTTACCGTTTTTAAGATGCCGTATGTAACTTGGATGCCCATATAGGCACAAGTTGAACAAAGAAAGAAATTCCCCTACTCAACTTAAGTAACTGATTTAAATGAAGTTGGCTCTGGTAAACTTGAGATTAAAGCTTTTTTTTTTGTAAATTACCAACGAAAATCGCATTTTACTTGAAGCTGGATTTTTTTAAAAATTATTTATAACTCAAAAATATCTCTGTCTTTTTTTAATTGCACAAGATAAACAGAGATGTTCATGCCATTCAAAATTCGGACCGGTACGGTAATGTCCCTGTTGATTTTCTGTGATTTTTCACAAAATTTAATAATTTTTGCATTCAATTGGCACACTGGGCATAGTGTTTCAGGCCAAAAATTAACATTTGTGTAACAGCGCAAAGTGAGTGATTCATATTAGGCTTTTCCAACAAAAATATTCAAACTGGAAGTGTTCCAGTTTCAGGAAATCTATAGAAAACTGTTTTCCTGGATTGCCAAGTCATTTCGAAAAATTGATAATTTCGCACTCTACTCCAAGCCCTAATAATTTAACTTTCCAATATATTTAGACCCTCAAATGTTCCAAATAAAATACACTTGATTATTAATAAAAAAATTATTTATTGCATAAAAATACCATGGAATGTATAAATATTTGAGATTCAAACTGGAAGCGCATTGACTTTAACAATCAATTGATTATTGCTGACAAAATCTTGATTAAACAATTCTTCGATCAGAGCAAATTCAGTGTACCCAAAACCTTTCGGATTCAAATCGTGCACTGGACGATTGAAGGCTTGCAACTCTGACCTGGACATCATTGTTTCTTTGATGTTTTTGAATGATTGCCTGGAAAATAGTGAATTTTATTTATTCAAAATAATTCTTGACATATTGACGTACGTTGGATGGACTATGGTGACTGTTAATCTGCCACAAAATGGCCAGTCTAAGGCTTGATCATGCTCAGATTTCATTAGGTGAATCAGGATTGCTAGATAATTTGGGTCTTTTGGAGATAGATTGATTCTAAGACATAATCTACAATAATAACATTAAATACTCATTATTATTGTATAGTACTTACAAAGTCAGTTGAAACAAGGTAAAGATAAATTAAAACTGGTGACTGAATATTTTCATAAGAAATGCACTGCCACTAGTCAAATTACCTTTACCTTGTGTCAACATACTTTGTAAATACTATAACGACTATTACATACTTGTAGCCATAAGGATTGGTGTAAAACCCAGGGCTATAATGCATCAGCCTTGGATTTTCTCTCATTTGAGCTATTTTATTTTTAAAATCGTTAAAATGCCAAAGGAAACAGCCATTGCAGTATCTCTGTTGGAAATTAGCAGTTGTACTTGTTAAATTTGTTAATTGTTGTGACATATTAGCTATAATAATGTCTTGTTCTCTGGTTTTTTGTTCTAAAAATACTATTTTTTCATATAAGGCCCTAAAACAAATAAGAATAAGTAGGTAATTGATTATGCATGGTCTATTCACAATCTGTAGTCCAAAGGTACAGGTAAAATTTATCACCTTTTAATACTATTTGATAGGGAAAGATGATAAATTTACCTGTACCTATGGAATACAGGATATAATTACCTTAATAAATTATCATTATCACTATCACCAGTAGTAGATTTAAGTTGTTGATTATCATGTTTGGATGGAGGATCCCAAAAATTAGCCTGAGCCAAAGTGCTAGAAGCATTTTCACTACCAACATTCACTTTGCCATAGGCCCTAGACAAAAGGCCCAAATGTAGTTGGATATTTTCCTGCAGGTGCCTTTGCAGCTCGGGATCATCTTCAAACTTTTCATAGCACCCAAAATCCACAAACTGGCACCTCAACTTTTCGTGATCTGGCAACTCTGGTACTCTAAACTGACAAACCAACAAATGCTCATCAACATCCAAGGGTGATAATTCCTCCAGACAACCACGCACTATATTAGGACACTTTGTCCTTTGCTGCGAAATTTCCCTTCTAGTAAAATTATCAGGGAAAACATCTTTGTCTTTGTTTAGCTTCATTTTATCTACAGGACACGCGTTCTCTTTTCTACAATGCAACAATGAGTCACTAGTTGCGTATAAAAATTACATACTCACTCTAGCCATCCCTGAATGCAATTCCTGCAAAACCTGTGCCCGCAAGAGGTGACCACAGGGTCCCTGAGCCAGGCCAGGCAAATGGGGCACTCAAAGCGTGCCTCGGGGGCAGCGAATTCGTCTATTATCGAGCTCTCTTGGGCCGAATTGTATCCTCCTTCAGCCATTATTTAATTATTAATAAAAATAGGCATTTGTTGTTTATTTAAGCTTTGTTCCAACCCAACCAGGAAACTGTAATATTGCTGTCAGGATTCTGCGCAGAAACCGAAATTCGTATACAGAGTGGTTCCGAAACCGTTCTGGGACTGGTTGGAACAAACCTTTAATCAGCTGATTGTCAAAAGTCTCTTTCTAAATGCTATAAAATAAAAAAGGACAAAAATACAAATGAAATCAGCTGTTTGTTGTTTTGGTACTATTAATTTTCTCTTTAAAAATTCTAATTATTTTCCACGCATAGACTGCAAAGTAATTACTAATCCATTAGTACTGCTATCAGTCTTGAAATGTGAATCTATGCTCAGTAAGCTTTGATTTTGATAAGGCACACAAAGCACGTTCAAATTCTATACGCAAAATGTGAACATTTAGATAAGGAGTTTTAAATTTGTGAGTGTGTGTTTGTTTGAAGAAGTCATGGTTTCCTTATGTACTAGTAGTACTAATGGTAAAGAAGCAATTTGTTTATATTTACTCGTTCATATTTGACTCAATTTTTTTAGGTTATGAATCTATTGGGGAACCCAAATCGCAACAAATTTACGATTCGGAAAACGACCAAATACTCTGTCACATTTTCGCCTACAAAAAGTCCAATTGCAGGAGCTTCTTCTATCATTTGTTCAGTATTTTACTTGCTTTTATTCCTTATATTGTATTTAGGGCGTATCCTCGTTTCAAGGCTCAATTCAAGTACAAACAGTGTCACATTGAAATCGCTGAGATTTTCTTAGGTGAGTATATACAGGGTGTTGATATTATAATCGATTTACTGAGTTGTCACTTGACTTGTCACGCTGTATAACAAAAAGGAGAAATCCATTTTCCAAATCTTACATTAAAACTGTCTATATTATTTGAGGGTACTTGCACATTTAAGTTCTTGATATACATATTGGCAAATTAAATCTACAACATTCTAAACGCGTGTGAGAAGGGCTATTCCGTTGTGACGTCATTAGGTAGTACCATTGTATGCAAAGCTTTTGTTACATATTTCAAAAAGATTCATCATTATGTCAACAATAATGGCCTACTAGTTGGGAACTTATAGTTCATAGGTGGAGGTGGAGGCATTCAATCCAAAGCCATTTCTTGAGTAATTGAAGCATGAGAAATATATTACTAAACTCCACAGAACATTCCGCCTTCAGAAAAGTATCTGCAATGTTGTACCGGTTATGAATTACAGCACCATCGTTGACTTGTAACCCAACTAATCAATATTCTTGACAAAAAGGCGAATCGATTTTTTGAGATAAGATTCAGTGAAAATTTCAGGTTTCTATCTATAATAGAAAAAAATTTATGACCTTTCAAAGTTTTCCAAAATCTAAATCATAAGGTAAGCTACCTTCTTACTAAAACGATGAAATTTCAATTTTTTTTCTTGTTGAGATTTTGTATCCTAATGGTCAATCAACATCCCCCAAACTCCATACACTAAATTATTCTCAGATTTGAAGATAAGTTTCAGTGAAAGTTTCAGCCTTCTATCTATAATAGAAAAAAAGTTATGATCTTTCAAAGTTTTCCAAAATCTAAATCATAAGGTAGCTACCTTCTTACTAAAACGATGAAATTTCAAAATTTTTGTTGTTGAGATTTTGTGTCCTAATGGTCCCTTGTGATACCTTGAACTCCATAAACCAAATTATTTCAAGATTTGGAGCCGAAATCTATGAAAAAAGGCACTCAGAAAAATTGAAAAATTCATAAATCACTCGAAATTGCTTAACACGATTTTATCTCAGGAACCATAAGTGCAAATGAGCTGAAACCAAGATTTGGAGCCGAAATCTATGAAAAAAGGCACTCAGAAAAATTGAAAAATTCATAAATCACTCCAAATTGCTTAACACGATTTTATCTCAGGAACCATAAGTGCAAATGAGCTGAAACTTTCAGGGGTTATAGTACTTTCAGTGAGATAAATTTCAGTGAAAGTTTCAGCCTTCTATCTATAATAGAAAAAAAGTTATGATTTTTCAAAGTTTTCCAAAATCTAAATCATAAAGGTAGCTACCTTCTTACTAAAACGATGAAATTTCAAAATTTTTGTTGTTGAGATTTTGTGTCCTAATGGTCCCTCGTGATACCTTGAACTCCATAAACTAAATTATTCCAAGATTTGGAGCCGAAATCTATGAAAAAAGGCACTCAGAAAAATTGAAAAATTCATAAATCACTCGAAATTGCTTAACACGATTTTATCTCAGGAACCATAAGTGCAAATAAGCTGAAACTTTCAGGGGTTATAGTACTTTCAGTGAGATAAATTTCAGTGAAAGTTTCAGCCTTCTATCTATAATAGAAAAAAAGTTATGATTTTTCAAAGTTTTCCAAAATCTAAATCATAAAGGTAGCTACCTTCTTACTAAAACGATGAAATTTCAAAATTTTTGTTGTTGAGATTTTGTGTCCTAATGGTCCCTCGTGATACCTTGAACTCCATAAACTAAATTATTCCAAGATTTGGAGCCGAAATCTATGAAAAAAGGCACTCAGAAAAATTGAAAAATTCATAAATCACTCGAAATTGCTTAACACGATTTTATCTCAGGAACCATAAGTGCAAATGAGCTGAAACTTTCAGGGGTTATAGTACTTTCAGTGAGATAAATTTCAGTGAAAGTTTCAGCCTTCTATCTATAATAGAAAAAAAGTTATGATTTTTCAAAGTTTTCCAAAATCTAAATCATAAAGGTAGCTACCTTCTTACTAAAACGATGAAATTTCAAAATTTTTGTTGTTGAGATTTTGTGTCCTAATGGTCCCTCGTGATACCTTGAACTCCATAAACTAAATTATTCCAAGATTTGGAGCCGAAATCAATGAAAAAAGGCACTCAGAAAAATTGAAAAATTCATAAATCACTCGAAATTGCTTAACACGATTTTATCTCAGGAACCATAAGTGCAAATAAGCTGAAACGTTCAGGGGTTATAGTACTTTCAGTGAGATAAATTTCAGTGAAAGTTTCAGCCTTCTATCTATAATAGAAAAAAAGTTATGATTTTTCAAAGTTTTCCAAAATCTAAATCATAAAGGTAGCTACCTTCTTACTAAAACGATGAAATTTCAAAATTTTTGTTGTTGAGATTTTGTGTCCTAATGGTCCCTCGTGATACCTTGAACTCCATAAACTAAATTATTCCAAGATTTGGAGCCGAAATCTATGAAAAAAGGCACTCAGAAAAATTGAAAAATTCATAAATCACTCGAAATTGCTTAACACGATTTTATCTCAGGAACCATAAGTGCAAATGAGCTGAAACTTTCAGGTGTTATAGTACTTTCAGTGAGATAAATTTCAGTGAAAGTTTCAGCCTTCTATCTATAATAGAAAAAAAGTTATGATTTTTCAAAGTTTTCCAAAATCTAAATCATAAGGTAGCTACCTTCTTACTAAAACGATGAAATTTCAAAATTTTTGTTGTTGAGATTTTGTGTCCTAATGGTCCCTCGTGATACCTTGAACTCCATAAACTAAATTATTCCAAGATTTGGAGCCGAAATCTATGAAAAAAGGCACTCAGAAAAATTGAAAAATTCATAAATCACTCGAAATTGCTTAACACGATTTTATCTCAGGAACCATAAGTGCAAATAAGCTGAAACTTTCAGGGGTTATAGTACTTTCAGTGAGATAAATTTCAGTGAAAGTTTCAGCCTTCTATCTATAATAGAAAAAAAGTTATGATTTTTCAAAGTTTTCCAAAATCTAAATCATAAAGGTAGCTACCTTCTTACTAAAACGATGAAATTTCAAAATTTTTGTTGTTGAGATTTTGTGTCCTAATGGTCCCTCGTGATACCTTGAACTCCATAAACTAAATTATTCCAAGATTTGGAGCCGAAATCTATGAAAAAAGGCACTCAGAAAAATTGAAAAATTCATAAATCACTCGAAATTGCTTAACACGATTTTATCTCAGGAACCATAAGTGCAAATAAGCTGAAACTTTCAGGGGTTATAGTACTTTCAGTGAGATAAATTTCAGTGAAAGTTTCAGCCTTCTATCTATAATAGAAAAAAAGTTATGATTTTTCAAAGTTTTCCAAAATCTAAATCATAAAGGTAGCTACCTTCTTACTAAAACGATGAAATTTCAAAATTTTTGTTGTTGAGATTTTGTGTCCTAATGGTCCCTCGTGATACCTTGAACTCCATAAACTAAATTATTCCAAGATTTGGAGCCGAAATCTATGAAAAAAGGCACTCAGAAAAATTGAAAAATTCATAAATCACTCGAAATTGCTTAACACGATTTTATCTCAGGAACCATAAGTGCAAATAAGCTGAAACTTTCAGGGGTTATAGTACTTTCAGTGAGATAAATTTCAGTGAAAGTTTCAGCCTTCTATCTATAATAGAAAAAAAAGTTATGATTTTTCAAAGTTTTCCAAAATCTAAATCATAAAGGTAGCTACCTTCTTACTAAAACGATGAAATTTCAAAATTTTTGTTGTTGAGATTTTGTGTCCTAATGGTCCCTCGTGATACCTTGAACTCCATAAACTAAATTATTCCAAGATTTGGAGCCGAAATCTATGAAAAAAGGCACTCAGAAAAATTGAAAAATTCATAAATCACTCCAAATTGCTTAACACGATTTTATCTCAGGAACCATAAGTGCAAATAAGCTGAAACTTTCAGGGGTTATAGTACTTTCAGTGAGATAAATTTCAGTGAAAGTTTCAGCCTTCTATCTATAATAGAAAAAAAGTTATGATTTTTCAAAGTTTTCCAAAATCTAAATCATAAAGGTAGCTACCTTCTTACTAAAACGATGAAATTTCAAAATTTTTGTTGTTGAGATTTTGTGTCCTAATGGTCCCTCGTGATACCTTGAACTCCATAAACTAAATTATTCCAAGATTTGGAGCCGAAATCTATGAAAAAAGGCACTCAGAAAAATTGAAAAATTCATAAATCACTCCAAATTGCTTAACACGATTTTATCTCAGGAACCATAAGTGCAAATAAGCTGAAACTTTCAGGGGTTATAGTACTTTCAGTGAGATAAATTTCAGTGAAAGTTTCAGCCTTCTATCTATAATAGAAAAAAAGTTATGATCTTTCAAAGTTTTCCAAAATCTAAATCATAAAGGTAGCTACCTTCTTACTAAAACGATGAAATTTCAAAATTTTTGTTGTTGAGATTTTGTGTCCTAATGGTCCCTTCGTGATACCTTGAATTCCATAAACTAAATTATTCCAAGATTTGGAGCCGAAATCTATGAAAAAAGGCACTCAGAAAAATTGAAAAATTCATAAATCACTCCAAATTGCTTAACACGATTTTATCTCAGGAACCATAAGTGCAAATGAGCTGAAACTTTCAGGGGTTATAGTACTTTCAGTGAGATAAATTTCAGTGAAAGTTTCAGCCTTCTATCTATAATAGAAAAAAAGTTATGATTTTTCAAAGTTTTCCAAAATCTAAATCATAAAGGTAGCTACCTTCTTACTAAAACGATGAAATTTCAAAATTTTTGTTGTTGAGATTTTGTGTCCTAATGGTCCCTCGTGATACCTTGAACTCCATAAACTAAATTATTCCAAGATTTGGAGCCGAAATCAATGAAAAAAGGCACTCAGAAAATTGAAAAATTCATAAATCACCTCGAAATTGCTTAACACGATTTTATCTCAGGAACCATAAGTGCAAATAAGCTGAAACTTTCAGGGGTTATAGTACTTTCAGTGAGATAAATTTCAGTGAAAGTT